AAAAAGAAAAGGGGGGAAAGAGAGTGAAAGGTTTAAGACTAGAAAAAACAACCCAAAAGACCAAGTGTCCACATTTTGATCACAGGACCATGGAGGTTCTGCAGCCGTGGTGTGAAAAACGGTCATAAATCACCTTTTTTCAGTACTATTGTAACTTCGAATGGTCATTAAATGAATTGTTGTTAAGTCAAGGACTACAGCATTTGTATTTTTATTTCTGAAAGAGGCTGTAAAAGGAGCAAGGGGTTGTATCAAATTTGCTAAGTGGGGACACAAACTTTGCCAGAAATTTGCAGTCATCAAACGACTTAATAACATATGCCTCTAAATCAGGGGTCCCCAAACTCCACAGCTTTAAGACTTGTGGACTTCAACTCCCAAAATTCCTCCTCCAAGTCATGTTAGCTCAGGAATTCTGGGAGTTGAAGTCCACAATTCTTTAAATTCTAAAGTTTGCTCTAAATAGCAATCGGGACAGTTATTAGCCCCCCCCCCCCCCCCCCGCGAATTAACTTTGTTCAAGGGCTTTCTTTTTTCTTCCTTTCTTTCGAGTTAAACAAGGAATCCCAAAGATCAGGCAAAGAATTTAGGCAGCACTCAGAACCTTTTTTCAAGCTCTGGCACTTGATCCAGAGGAGGATCCCCCTTTGGGCCAAAGTTTGGGATAAGATCAAGGTCCCGCGTTAATAATCAAACAGATCCCCAAAGCTCTCTATGTAAAAAAGAAAACAAAACAAAGGTCTAAAAGCAGCCAATAGGAGAGGACGTTCTTTGCCCGAGTCTCCCTCCACCAATGGCAGCGCTGCAATTGACGGATCAGCCAATGGAGAGAGCCGAGAGCTATTTCCCCCCCCCCCCCGCCTTCTCTGCTTATTCCGGCTTTTTGCCCGATGCTTCTTCCTCTCCGTTTCGGGGGTTTGTCTCGGCTGGTCCGGCGCGTCTCGGGACTTGGTGGGGCTTTTGCAGCGGGCCGCCCTGGTGCGAAGCGCAGAAGCGAAGCGGGCTCCAAGTCTCCCCGGTTCTCGGAAGGAGCAATGCATCCCTGAATGGGCGACCCTGGAAGCGACGGGCTTTCTTTGCATTAAACTCTCCCATCAGCGGTCATCACCGGACGATCGATCCTATGTCCGAAACTCTGGGATCGGTAGCAGCCCGAGCTGGCTGCGTGATCTCGGTGTCTCACTCCCGGGTCCCGCGCGGATCTTGCAGCGGCAGCGGCGTCCTCTTGAGTCGAGATCCCCCGGGCGTCGTCGTCGTCCTTTGCCCCGGGATCCTCTTCTCCCCTTTCCTTCTGGAAAGCGAGCGCCCCGATTGGTCTCAGGGCAGAGTCCTGCTCTCCGACCGCTTCTTCCCGGGCCTCCGGATCCAGGTGCTTCAAGCGAGCGGGAGCAGCAACAGCAGCAGCAGCCAAGCGGCCCGGGCTACTTGCCTGGCTGGAGACCTGGGGGGAAATAATAACCCAGGGCTAAGGTTTAACCCGCTTTCGAACCGACCTCAACCCCCTCACGGTTGGAGGACCTGCGAGGCTGAGCTCCTGATGGTGGCCGCCTGCCCGCCGTTCCAGGAGGCCTTCTCCAAAATCTTCAGCGCTTCGGATCGGTGGCATTTAGGAGGGAATGACTTTGAGCAAGAAGTGGCCAACTCTTCGGAGCACGAGGACTGGCGTGCCCTCCATTGGTTTGCTCTGCTGAGGATCCTGGAGCCGGCGGATTCCCTTGGGGCAAGTTGGGTGAGCTGCGTTCCAGCCGGATCCCTCAAGAAGGGGGATACCGTCTTCACCTGTGGCTCTCCTTTCGGCTCTTTGTGCCCGGAGATATTCATGAATACCCTCAGTAAAGGGATAGTCAGCAACCTGGCAGGAGCGAGCAATGCCCTCGTCTTGATTGACGCGCGTTGCTTGCCTGGCACCGAAGGAGGAAGCGTCTTCGTCCTGTCAGGAATGGGCGCTCACCTGGTCGGAATCATCGTGGCTCCACTGTGTTGGAAATCCACCGAGTGGGTCGGCTTGACTCTGGTGTGTGCCGTTGACTCCATCCTGGAGAGTGTGGCCGGGGTCCTTTCTGGGTCTCGGGGTTTCCTGAAGCCCTCATTGCTCCCCACGGAACTTGTGACCAAGTCGCCTGCTGCGGTGGTACTCAGAAATGGACTGGACAGGCACCTGTTGGATGCTGTGGTTCTAGTAGAATGTGGACCCACCTGGGGGTCTGGGGTGATGATGAATTCAAGGCTGTTGTTAACCTGTCGGCATGTGGTTGGCGGAGCATCAAATGTCCGTATCAGGTTTCTAACCAGTCCTAACAGGTGAGTCTGAATTTTAATATTTGCTTATGTGTTGCTTTGTTCTCCTTGGGTGTCTCTGATGCAACCTGAACATGCTTACCTGAGCAGCGTGGGTGAAGTTTGGGAGAATGTAGGTGTAGCAGCCTTGGGGATATGAGCATACATCAGGGGTCTCCAAACTTGGCAACTTTAAAACTTGTGGACTTCAACTCCCAGAATTCCTCAGCCAGCTTATGAGGAATTCTGGGAGTTGAAGTCCACAAGGCTTAAAGTTGCCAAGGTTGGAGACCTCTGGCATACATGATCTTATTCCCAGACTGAGGGAGTTTCAGCCTCCCCAGCAGTTTTTAAAAAAAATAAGATACATAACTTGCCAACTTTAAAGATTTAAGAGAATTGTAAGAACGACTTTAAAGATTCTGGATAGGTTCTAAAAAGGTAAAACACAAGAATAGAAAAATATATGGATTAAAAACAACGCTAACAATAAACCAACCCTCTCCATACATGGACACCAATAAAAGTTTAGCAAGGTTTCTGTCAACTCATAAAATATTTCTATGGTCTTTTTAGAGTTGCCAGCAGAAAGGGAAGGGGGGAGCAGTGGGCAGCTTGCATTCCATAAATGCCTTCAAAGATAATAATTAGGTGAATGAGGTTTCTTCAACACAAAATTCTAACTGGAGAGTATGATTGATAACTCTTGGCTATGGATGTGTCCCACTGGAGAATATGAATTCCGATATACCCAGGGGGTGGAAGAAAACCAGGGTCAAGGGTGAATGATGTTTCTCAGAGTTGAGCCCGGACAGTTTGAAGGACCGATGAAAGTTTATAAAGAGTTTCTAAAAATGTTTTGTTTTTTTCTAAAAAAAAGTTTCTAAAAGTGAAGAGGAAGGGAACAGTATGGACCTTTCCAAGTAAGAAATTCCAAACCAAGAGACGGTGGTTAAATACTGATTCTTGGAGAAGCAACAATTTGTGTGGAATTATGGTGGCTTTGGATTCCACCATATCCAAAGGTAGTCAGGTTGGAGGAGACTATTTTAGAAGAACTGATAACTTGTGCAACTTAAATGGTAGTGGCGCAGTGGTTAAAATGCAGCATTGCAGGCTACTTCTACTGATTGCTATCTGACTGCAGTTTGGCAGTTTGAGTCTCACTGACTCAAACCTTCTGAAGGTTGACTCATCCTTCTGAAGTCAGTAAAATGAGGACCCGGATTATTGGGGGGCAGTATACTGACTTTATAAACCGCTTAGAGAGGGCTATAAAGCACTGTGAGGCGGTATATAAGTCTAAGTACTTATTCCTATTGCTGATACACTCTAGTTCCCATTTTATGCATTGAATCATAAATTCAGAGAGCTCTGTTAGGAATCTGTACACCAATTAGTTGGGTTGGCAATATATAAACCAAAAATGTAGGTTTGTAACTTTAAGAGAAAATCACAGTATTGATTTATACTCTATTCCGATTGGTTGATTATATTGCAAATATCCATTAGAGGGAGCTAGAGATCATAGCTTGCTCTCTCTGACATTCTGTTGCTATCTAAGGTTCTCTGTTGTATTTATGCTGTGCTTATACTTTGATATCTTTGTTTACTGTAAATGACAAAGGCAACCGGTAAGAAGACTTTGTAATTGGATATTCTTTGGACTGTTAAACGTATATGACCTGGACCATTTATTGGACTGTGCTATTTCTTAAAGTAAACTTTAACTCAATTTAGTGTATCTGTGTGTGGCTGAATAATTATTCATAACTATTCTCATAAACTTTCCATGTGCACATCCTTGTTACTCAAGGGTTATTCTGTACATATAACAAGCTCCACCTACAGAAAAGAAAACAGACATATGAAAGTGAAAATCCATTCTAGACTAAAATTCTCGGGAATTACATTTGAATTTAAGTTGTGGTTTGCATCTTTTTTCAATGAAGGAATGCATTACAGTGCTCTTTAACCAACATGCGTAGCCATGTTGGGAGATACAGTGATAATCAAAACTACAGTATAAATATTAATAACTAATTGTGATGTAAGAGGGAACATGGAGGAAAAAAAAGTATAGATTTTTTTTTCTGGGATGGGTAAGTATTTATGCAACCCTGAGCTTAGAAGTCATTTATAGTGATCCCCCTGACTCCTTCCATTCCCTCTCCCCACCCCTCCCACCGCTCCCTAAAACAACTAACTAATGGCTTGGGAGAAAAAAAAGGAAAAATTTGTTTCTTTTCAATATGTCACTTCAGGTTTCGCTCTCTTGTTTGTATCATCTCCTTCTCCGGAAATGTGTTAGAAAATGCAATGGAGAACTTACTGTAATCCAGAAAAGCCCATTAAGAGTAACGTGGGCGAGATCCTCATCCTTTGATCTTAGATTTGCCTTTTGATGCTTGTTCCCTTGAGTCTCTTTGATGTAATCCGAATATGCGGTCATCCGAGCGCCACAGATAAAGCTTGGGAGAGAGTGCATGTGTGGCAGTCTTGATGATGTGAACATGCCCAATCTCATTCTCAAACTGGAGTTTTAGCCTCCCCAATTTTTCCCTGTAACCCAGTTCAGCTGAGGAAGGACACACTGGTCTCTGGCCTATAGAGATGCAGAAAAATGAAATGGATTTGAATCCTGGTTCTGGTGACTTCAGCACCCCTCAGTTTTACATCCCAGGAAGGCACAATCCCGCTCTCTTATAGAAAGTATCTGGCACGCCTATAATACTTTGATTTGCTTCGACTGCAGTGATGTGCAAAACTTCCGGATGGATTTTGTATTTGACCAGCTGAACGGTGCCAAATTATGTTTTGCTTTCAGTCTCCTTCAAATATTGTTTTTTTCCCCCCCTCCTAGAGATTCTGTAGTGAAAGGAAATGTAGTGTTTGCAACGAAGGACTCTTCTCCCTACGATGTTGCATTGGTAGAGTTGGAAGAAGGTTTATCCACATTGCCAGACCTTCCTCTAGCATCAACGTTTCATCCAGGTGAGAACAGAGTAATGCATCCAGGTTGGTGTCTCTTTTTTTGTTATTTTGTCTATAAAGAATAACAGAATAAGAAAGTTGGAAAGGACCTTGGAGGTCTTCTAGTCCAGCCCCTTGCTCAAGCAGGAAACCCTGTACAATTCCAGACAAATGGCTGTCCGATCTTTTCTTACCAAGCCTCCAGTGAGTACCTACAACTTCTGAAGGCAAGCCATTCATTCCACTGATTTATTTTTTCTCACTGTCAGGAAATTTCTCCTTATCCTGGGTTGCTTCTCTCCTTGATTAGTTTTTATCCGTTGCTGCTTCTTCTGCCTTCAGGTGCTTTGGAGAGTAGCTGTCCCGCTCTTCTTTGTGGCAGCCCCTCAAATATTGATGTATTAAATACTGATGTCTGTCACTTAACACGGGACTATTAAACAATTTTGAATCTGGCGTTGATAAATAATGTATTGAACATTTAATGGGAAAGCACGAAGCCTTACATATTAAAACCATCTTTGAAGAGATAGGCAAATATATTTTAAATTAAATTCTTTTGAGTGAAGCAGATTACAGATTAACAGAATTGGAAGGGACCTTATAGGTCATCTAGTCTAACCCCCCCCCCCAGCCACCCAAGCAGACCCTACAGATGACAGTCCTGTCTCTTGAAAGCTTCCAGTGATGAAACTTTCACAACTTCCGAAGGCAAGCTGTTCCATCGATTGATTGCTCTCAATGTCAGAAAATTCCTCCTTATTTCCAGGTTGAATCTCTCCTTGTTCCGTTTCCATCCATTATTCCTTGTCTGGCCTTCGGATGCCTTGGAAAATAGCTTGACCCCTTCCTTCCTGTGGCAGCCCCTCAAATATTGGAACACTGCTATCATGTTTCCCCTGGTCCTTCTCTTTACTAGACTAGCCAAGCCCAGTTCCTACAACCGTTCATCGTATGTTTTAGCCTCCAGTCCTCTAATCATCTTGGTTACTCTTCTCTGCACTCTTTCCAGAATCTCAACATCTTTTTTATAGTCTGATGACCAAAACTAGATGCAGTATTTCTTACTAAGGCTTTATAGAGTGGTATTAGTACCTCACTTGATCTTGATTGTATCACTCTGTTAATGCAATTTAGGATTGCATTGGCTTTTTGGGCTGTTGCCTCACAGTGTTGGCTCATATTTAATTAGTTGTCCGCTAAGTCTCCAAGATCCCCCTCACAGTTACTGCTATTAAGCCTGGTTTCACCCAATCTTTATGTGTAAAGCATTTTTTTCCCAAGATGCTTCTCCTTTGGAGCAGGTTATTTTAATCATTTTGGAAATATTTGGAGCTTGCAGTAGAATTGTTTGGAGCTTGAAATACTTCTAAAGCACTCAAAAGAGCTCTTATGAAGTAAATGTTTTGCCCACATGATAATTACTTCATATTCACAGTTTATGCTTTAAGTGGTTTACAGCTGCCGTGTTTTTCACAGCACAGCCATTTATGGAGATCTGCATGAGCAGGCGAAAGAGAGGTGTCTAATGAAAATGACTTATTATTGGTCCCCCGCCCCCCACTTACAACAATCACAGTGACCCTTTGGTTACATGATTGTGACTCTGCTGCTGAGCAACTGGCATATATTTAGAATAGTTGCAAAATTCCAGGGCCACGTGATCACCACTTACAATCTTCCAACCTGCTTCCAATAAGCCAAATCAGTGGGCAAGCTGGCCAGGAAGTTGCCAAAACACAGTCAGTCAGTGAGTTAATGAACTGAGTGAGTGAGTGAGTTAGGACATTTCACGTAGAACTAAGGAGACACTTCCTAACAATGAGAACAATCAACCAATGGAACCGCTTGCCTCCAGAAGTTGTGGATGTTCCATCACTGGAGAGAGGAGACTGGACAGCCACTTGTCTGGAATGGTGTAGGGCAGTGGTGGCTAACCCTTTTGGGCTCCTGTGCCAAAAATTGTGTGCAAGCTTGCACGCTCGTGCTTGCGTGCCAGCACCCAGAAGGCAATGTGCCCCCCCGCCCCCCCATGCATGCATGCGCAATCCCCACCCACCCCCTGCCTCCCCCTTACCTGCACTGCGCCTCACAGCTGATTTTCCGCTAGTTTGAGGCCTTTCTTGGCCTCCCAGATGCTTCAGTAAGGCTTCTGCAGGCTTTTCAGGCCCAAAACTAGGCCTGTTTTGTCACTTCTGGTACTTCTGGAAAAACAGGAAGTGATGAAACGGGCTTAGTTTTCAGCCGCAGAAGCTTGTAGAAGACTTCCTGAAGCCTCCGGGAGGCCGAAAAAGCCTCAAACTGGCCAAAAATAAGCTGTGAGGCGCACATGCACGGTGAGGTAAATTTGCCTGCAGCTCGCGTGCCAGCACAAATGGCTCTGCATGCCACCTATAGCACGCATGCCATAGGTTCTCCATCATGTTTATAGGATCTCCTGCTTGTGCAGCAGGTTGGACTAGAAGACCTCTAAGGTCCCCTCCAATTTTGTTATTGTTTTTCTGTCACATGTCTCATTTAATGACTGCAGTGATTCACTTAATGACCATTGCAAAAAAAGGCTATAAAATCAGATGTGGTCATATGATGTCTCACTTAATGACTGCACTGCTCAACAATAAATTTTCCAGCTGCTGTTGTGCTCACAAGTCACAGACTAGCCATACTTTCCATCTTGAGGTACTTATGAATGATAACAAAATATGTACTTTTTTTTTTTCAAGAGGCAACTGGACTTTCTGGTTTTTCTTTGAAGACATTTTGCTTCTCATCCAAGAAGCTTCTTCAGTTCTGAGCACCTTCAAACACCTTTGGGACAACCATGACCTGAATGACTCCATTAGACAGAGAACATCAAATGTGTAGCAAATTAGCTTTTTATTTGCAAGGATGCTTTAAAAAAAAAACAAAAAAACCCTATTAGGTATTGTATATTTTATCTGCCTTTCTCTTAATTGAATTTTTGAGTTAAGGTACCCGAAAAATGACAATGAGTGAAGTATATTTTGCACTGCAAAAATATAGAGGCGTTGTCCAGAAAAATGATGAAAAGGTTCTTGATGACTGTTGTCTCGTTTGTGTGTCCTTCAATCAGGGGAAGACGTGAGTATTGTGAGCTTTGGAGTCTTCGGTCAGGCCTGTGGACCGTCTGTTACATCGGGGATCCTCTCGGCTGTGATCACCGTGGAAGATAAGCCAGTGATGCTCCAGGCAACCAGTGCGGTTCACGGTGGTTCAAGTGGGGGCGCCCTCTTTGGCACTCACAGTGGGAAACTTCTAGGTGAGGCGGATAGATAAAGAGATGGATTTGCATCCAGCCAAATTCTCAACTCTTAACCCAAAATAGGGACATCCAGAGCAGTAGTATAAAGAAAAATCTGTGGTGTTTTAATGATTTTACTTTATTCGTCCTTAATCTCACTTTCTGAGGATATTAGCTTAAGTTTCTAGCCTCCGGTTTAAGAAAGGCAAAATGGTTTTCCTTTTCACGTCATTGAACTACAGTTCTCAGCAGACACAACCAGAGGCCTCTAGCACAGGGGATATCAAACTCAGTTTCACTGAGGGCCGCATCAGGGCTGTGTTGACTTTGGGGGAGGGTGGGCGTGGCTGACTGGGTGGGTGTGGCCAATTTGACGCCACTCCCCAAACTGCTGGTATGTTTCCTCTTCGCATTGGGTAGACCGGGCCGAAGCCACACTGGTCCAAAGTTTCCTCTTCACATTGGCTACACTAGGCCGAAGCCATGCGGGCCGACCCCGTACATTTTCCAGGACGGACTGCAGGCCAGATCTGGCCCATGGGCCTTGTGTTTGATACTCCTGCACAAACAATTTCTCTCTTTAGCTCCTACAAATTATCCAGCTCTTCGAAGGACTCATTTTAACAGTGCAAATCTCCCCAAAGCCTCTCCTCGATTTCATCTCTTTTTAATGTTGCATTTTTGCACCCTTGTGTGTATGTCAGGATAGTGAATTCCGTGCTTTTTGTCCTCTGTGTTACATTCGCAGGAATTGTTGCCAGCAACACAAGGGATAACAGCGCTGGTGTGACCTACCCTCACCTAAACTTCAGCATTCCCGTCACAGTCCTGCGGTCAGCCATCTTGGAATATATCCACCACGGAAGCCTGCAAGGTTTTCAAGAACTAGACGGAGTAGGAGAAAGAATTCAGGTTGTCTGGAGGCTCCAAAGAGAACCCGTGGAGATGCCACTCAGCAAACTGTGAGACTTCACTGAACGAAGAAGAATAGAAGAATATCGGCTTCCTATATCATAGGTCCAGGCTACTTTTTGAACTTTCTCATCCTGCTAGGATAAGCCTTGTCCCACTTGTACTGGCACAGGGGGCCTACTTTGGATCCCTTTGGTCAAAGAACTCCAACTATTGGGATCTAGAGAATGGGTCTCCAACCTTGGCAGCTTTAAGACTTGTGGACTTCAACTTCTAGAATTCGTCAGCCAGCTTTCTTGAAGTCCACAAGTCTTAAAGTTGCCAAGGTTGGAGACCCCTGACCTTCTCTGCTGCAGCACCTGTCCTTTGGAATATCTTACCCTCCAAAGTGATGTCTACCTCCACCCTCTTATCCTTCCCTAAGACTCTGAAGGTCTGGCTGGGGCAGTTCCACACACTGGAGGTGGCTGCTAGATTGATAGCAAACCCCACCTCACCATTTGCTCTCTGTTTCTCTACCCATCCATCTTTTATTCTCATACCGCTGTACCGTCATTTCCTTTTTCATTCTTTATTCTATTCCATTACTTTTCTTACTGTTACGTTTGCGCTTCTTTTCACTTCTCTGTTTTATATTGTTCTAAGCCATCTAAAATAGCCCCACTTGCAAGATAGGCAACATATAAATTTAACAAATAATAAAATACACCGTATCCTGATTGCATTATATTGGTGCTTCTCTTGCTGTTGTAATCAGCTAAGTTTATCGAATTGACCCCAAATTAAGGGATTACAAGGTTGTACAAAAAAAGAGAATTTCATCCGTTTCGGTAGCTTTCTTGGCTAGGCATTTAGTTTTTATTTCAACAATGCCCACTTAGTTTTCCTGCCCTAATCTTCCATTACAAATAGTCCTCAACTTATATCCAACATTGGACTGAAAATCACTAAATGGTCATGAAGTGAGTTGCACACAGTTTTACAACCAGAAAAGTCTTTGTGGTCTCTGAGCTCCCCAAGTGTTCTAGTTTGGGTAATTAGGTAATGAAATATCTGCAAGAAAACAAGCAGGCTCAGATAGCACGGATCCCTCATTTCAATCCCGAGCTACACATATTCCCCTTTACTAATTTTATACAACCTGTTTTGCTGTGATTAAGTGAATCACTGTGGTCATTAAGTGAGTCACACTATCATTAAGCAAATCAAGCTTCCTCTGTTGAGTTTGCAGCCAAGAACCTGGATTTTGATCATGTGACCGTAGAAAAGGTTATAAATACAAAATTGATTGCAAGTCATGTTTTTTGCAGCACCGTTGCAACTTTGAACAGTTGCTAAATGAATGGTCATAAGTTAAGGATTTCCTGTATATCCCCGACAGTGTCTCTCTTGGTCAAGCACCCTGCTTATTCTCTTAGGTTCTGCATTTTTCCATTATGCTTGGAATTCTCTTTCAGACTACCCCATCCTTCAAATCCTTTGTAAAAGCTCGCTTTTCTATTATCCCGTTCCATATACAGCCTGTTTTTTTTTACACTTTACTTTCCATTATCTTCCTGAATACAGTGGTACCTTGGTATTCATCATTAATTTGTTTCTGGGAGATGAGATGAATACCAAGAATAATGAGTATTAAACAGAGGAGTTTCCCATAAGGAATAATATAGTGAGTCACAAGGACACTGACAGGTTCTAGCTTGTGTGTTGAGTACTAAACAAATGATGAGTACTAGGATAAAAGTTTTACGTCAAAAAGTGTTGAGTACCAAATTCGATGAGTTTCAAAGCAGTTGAGTACCAAAGTACCACTTTAGTTGAAATTTAGTTGAAATTCTTGGAGTAACATTCTCTTCCTTTTTGTTATGGTGCTATGTAAATAAATTATAACAGAGAGTGCTTTATCTTTTGTACTGATGCACTTAGTATCTTTCTCTGACCGCTGTAGATTTAACTAATCACCATTTCAAATACTATCCAATTTCTTCTTTGCTTGGTTTGTTGAGTTTTTTTTTTAAAAAAAAAACTTCAATCATTAGAGATGTATAAAACATGCCATTTGTCTATCAAATGGAATTGCCCATTTGTTTCATACAATATAAGAGCAGTGTTTCTCAATTTTAGTCACTTTTAAGAGGACTGGATTTCAACTCCCAAAATTCCTCAGCCGGCCTAGCTAGGAGTTTGAAGTCCAGACTTCTTAAAATGGCCAAGGTTGAGAAACACTGATATAAAGCATCTTGGTTTGTTTTGATCATAATGCATAAGTCAGGCTCTCGTGGTTTGTTTCAAAATCTCTGAATTTAGAACTCCTGCCTTAGAATTATGCGTGAATGTAGTTAAACATTCCGCTTCAGTTATGATTTTCTGTTAAGTAATGACTGATGTTGTTTTTGTCCTTGGTCCCCCTATACTCGTTTAACTATAGATGAACACTGCAGTTTTTAGAAATCTTAAGGGGTTTTTTTGGGAAGTACTTACTTATTTCCTCTGCCCTATTTCAGCACAATTTAGCACAGGGGTGTCAAAATGGATTTCTTCAAGGGCCAGGTCAGCATTGTAGCTCTCCGTAGACGGGTGGGGATCAGGGAAGGAGACAGGACAGACGCCTCCTGCAGCATCCTGCTGGCTAAAACGGGGCACTGGGGGGCATACACGCCCTCGCGGCCTCCCTGGCCCCCTGCAGCACTCTCCTGGCCAAAAACGGGCCACACAGAGGCCCTGTATGGCCCATTTTGGCTGGCAGAGGCACCGTGGGCCAGTCCTTTGATATTTCTAGGCCGGCCCCATGGGCCAGATTTAAGTACCCCGTGGGCCAGATGTGGCCCATGGGCCTTGAGTTTGACACCCCTGATTTAACGGGGCCCAGTGAAGTATGGGTTCTTTGTCAAATGTAACTTGTTTAGTTGAAGCAGAATAACCAAAGCAATTGTCATAATTATGAAATAAATAAATAAATGGTCGCCTAGCGGTGAAGACACTGACCTCTCACTTAGAAGGTTGAGAGTTCACTCCTAGGCGGCAACAGATGTTTCTCTGTCAAGGCAGAAAGAGAAAATATCTGCTGCGAACTCCACATAGGCATCAGAGCGGGCATCCGGCTAGTGAATGCTTAGCTCTATTCAGTCATCTTGATCCCACCAGAAGCAAGAGATTACAGGGTCATTAAAAGAAAATAATAATAATAGTGATATATAAATATTGGGAACTGCTTGGCTTGAAGAATTTATGTAAACAGGGTATTCTCATTTATCTTATGTTGAATGCCAGCTTAGTGAATCCAGATTTCTAGATTCACTTTTAACTGTACGGTATGTATCACGCTTTGCATTGGGAACGGAGTATGAAATGAGTATGGATATATAGGTTGTACAGCTAATCCTCGACCTACAACTTCAACTGTGATGAGAATTTCCATTGCTAAGCGAGACAATTGTGAAGTGAGTCAGGCCTGATTTTGCCATGGTTGTAAGCAAATCACTGCAGTTCTTACGTGAATCATGTGGTCTTTAAGCAAATCCAGTTTCCTGTATTGATTTTGCTTGTCAGAAGCTGGCTGGGAAGGTTGTGGGGATGCCGCAATCGATACTGGTATAAGTGTGAGGTCCAGTGCCTTTGTAACTTCAAGCAGTCATTAAATGAACAGTTGTAAGTTTATTACTTTTATTAATATGTGTGGCTCCATTATGTTGCTTGGAAAATGGTTACACATTTTAAAGGGCCCTTGAGTGCAAATTGGCAATCTCAGTCATGGATAAATAAACATTAATCGAAGTTAGAATGAGACCAACCTGATAATTTGTTGTTCCCCTCTGTAACAGAAAGACAAAACACATGAAGATTTGCGCACAGATGGCGTGAACTTTGTACCAAGCAATGAATAAACAATGTTTATGCATGTTCAAAAGGAGTATTTATTTAGGAATCCTATTTAATGCTGCCTTGTTGCTGGGAAGCCAAAGTGCTATGAACCAAATCAAAGGTAAAGAATATAAAAAACTGTATTCTAAATTCTATACATTGACAATGAAGCAATATAAGATTACACAGATTAAAAGGACACGTTGAACAGTTTTTCAGTAACTGGTTGTTTATTATTATGGATTACTTTTAGCAGATTTCGTTTAGCGGACATGAAAAGCGCTTGCCTGAAATAAGGCCATTAAGGTGGATTTTATTTATTTTCATAAACTCGTGTAGCTGTTCCTTTTATATGCCATAACTGCGGGCAATTCACAATAACAGCAGTACGAATAAATAACAGGCACTAAAAAAAAACATTAAAAAAGGAAGAGAGCACCTCAAGCAGCATTCCTTAGCAACGATAACAATCATCAGAGTTTCAGCTTCACCCAAATCTTGATATGAAATCTAGAAAAACCAACTTTTTAAGGCTTCTGAAAGTCTAGCAGGGCAGAAGGCCTGCTGGAATGTAAGAAGAACCAGACCAGACAAGAAGCACCATTCATATGCATTAATTCTGCTTTATTAACAGACTCTTGCAAGTTTGAAGATACATGTCTGAAAATACATTTCTCTCTCTCTTTATAACCCTTTATACTGCAGCTCAGGGATCTTCAAACTTGGCAACTTTACTTGTGGACTTCAACTCCCATAATTCCCCAGCCAGCACACCATAAAGAATTCTGAGAATTGAAATCCATAAGTCTTAAAGTTGCCAAGTTTGGAGATTTCTGCTATAACTTAAGACAACGGGGAGGAATTTTTTTTTTTTTTTGAGATGTTTGCCATGCCTCCATTCTTTTTGTGGACTAAACTTCTCATCTAACCTGATCCTCTGGCTACTCCCTGGCTCCCAAGTTCATTCTCACATACCATTACAGGGGTTTTACAAGGCAGGACAGCTCTTGGTAAGGTGGCCAAAAAGGGTCTGACCCAAACCTGGTTCCAAGAAAGTAAACGCAAGACAAAGGTAACAGCACAACCTTTTACTGTTTCATTTATGAATCCTGTTTCTTCACAGATAAAAGGCTGCTTCCAACTAATTAGCTCCAACAAGAAAAAGCCTTGCCAAGTTTTTGCAAGGCTGCCAAGAACAACAGATAAATTTCCTAAACAACAAATCAAAGAGTCTCCAAACACCAACTCAGATATTCGAACGTCCACCAGGCTCGAGTATCAAACTTCTTTGCCTTTTGCAAAGAACTCCGGTTTCTCAGCTGGCTTTTATCTTCTTGAAAGAGGGGCCATTACCTTGCAGCCTTACTCCCGAGTCGCCCGTGCTGCTGCAGCTGCTCTTTCCTTCGAGCAGCCCTGCGTGCATGCGCACTGGGCACAGGCTCCTCGGGGACCTCTTCATCGCTGCTGCCAGCCTCCACAATCTCCAAAGGCAGCATTCCACTCCCTGATGGTCCTGGCCCCATCCCTGCATCACACGCAGGCCCCACATCTGAGTCTTCGCTCTCCGAGACCTCAGCTGTCCACATCTGCTGCCGGCGAATTA